ACGAGAATTGAAATTATAGTTATTTTTTGCTTCAGTTCAATGAAAAAAAAAATATTTTATAAAACATTTTTTTGTACCATTATATAAGAGGTTTAAAAATTTATAATATATTAAACAATTTTCCTTCTAATAAATATATTTTTAAGGTGTTTAGTGTAGGCAATTTGAAATCATACTTTTAATTTTCTTTAGACAAATTATTGTAATTGTATATAAGTTTTTTTCTTTATCAATTATTGATTTTTTCTTATTCTATGCATTTAAAAACTAAAGTAAAAATTATTAAGAAATTCCAGGGTGAGTAATATTTTTTAGTATTCTTTGTTCATCATTAAAAAAACTCGTATTTATTTTTAATGATTACTAAACATAAAACTCATTTTAATTTTTTTTTAACTCTCTGAACTAAGGTTTGATATCGACATTTTTCAATTTATTTCTTCTAGTAACTTGGAAAATTTCTCAATAATTTTATTTAATAGAATTTATTAATCTAAAAGTAATTTGGGTGATTGATTACTCACATATTTTTAATCATAACATAATATTAACATTTAATCGTATTTCCAACTTCTATTGATAAATTTTAATTTTTTTAATAGTACTCGATTAAAGTTTAAAGAGCAAATTAATAACATTAACCTTCTCGACTTTTTATAACTCTTTCAGAGTTGAAATTATTATAATCATCATCTTAACCTCTATCTCAGCTATTTGGGGTCGGCTCTATATTATTAATTTAGCAGGATTTTTACACCGGCTATCGACATGATCTATCTCATTATAGCTGAAGGGACAATTAAAATAACAAAATGTGTACAACTGTTAATGTTCCCGTATGGTCACCCATCTGGAAACTAACAGCAAACAGCGCAGCTAAACATCAGCGCTAAGATGGCGACTGCATAATCCACTGTGTACAGCACACCCCACAATTAAAATTATTTTAAAGAACTTTATCAAATAATTTGTATAATTATTAAAAGTATCTGGAAAAATAAAATAAATAATTCTAAGGGTTTGATTCTTTTGAATACTTTTATTTATTTGATGAAAGTAATTGTCGATATTTTTATCACTTTATGAAGGTCGTACAAACTAAAATACATGTTTATGCCTTTATCAGTTTCTCCTACTTGTGAAAGAAAAAGATTATTATTTTTAAACATTCAACCTTTGAAATTTGATGAACCATTCATAGTATTCAAAAAATTACATTTTTTATTACATAGTCATACCAAATTACTTTTTTAAACCTTTCATTAAATATTTTTTGAAGAATCTAAGAATATCTCAAAATGTGTACAAAACTAAATTGAACTAATGACCACAAAGTTTTGACTATCAAATTAGGAAGAAGAGTGCATAAATAATTTTTTAATTTGAAATTATTATTAAATTATTAAAATGATCATTTATTGAAGTTTTTTCTGATTAAATCTAGTAAATTAGTCACTCAATTAATTTAATTACATTACTCACATTTATTTTGCTAAAGTATATGTTACATATTTTGTTATGATTGCGGCATTTGTTAATGTTTACATATTTATTAAAAAATTTAATTTAGCACTATTTTTTTAGTAAAACTTTAAATATATTTATTCAAAATTAAAATGGTGAATACAGTTATTCGTATGAAATAATATTTATCAATATAATTGAATTTTTGTTTACTAATAAGCACGTCAGAAGAGTGATTGTGTAATTTAATTGTGTTTATATTGGAAAAAAATATATATATTTAACTGCCTTATTCATTTTAAAATTAGAATCTATTTATCTAATACTAATTATTAATTTATTAAAGAGATATATCATTTTGTATTGTTTACAATTTTTGTTCTAAACCATCTTTTTGTAAAGATACTTTAAATGAGCTTTTGAAAATTCATTGTTTTTTAATATCTACTCATAAAAGTGTTCGTAGAAGAAACTGGGATAAGAGTCAAATTTTGAAATAAATAATTTTATTTTATAGTTACGAACCAATCGATAAATATCAAATCTTGAACTACTTTTACATCTTTTTAATAGTTAAGCAATTTTTTTTGGTAAAAGTGAATACATTATATATTTTAAAATTATTTCATATTATGGCCGATCCTAAGTAGATAGGAGAGAAATAAAAAGATACTTTAATGTTATATTTCACTCTTTAAGAATACTACTTTATAAAACTATTTTTTATTGTATTAAATAATATTTTAATACTTTTTGATGATATTATTTTAATAAAACTTTTGATTTTTTTTTATATATAATACTTTTATTAATGAATATTGAATAATGACGTAGTTTTATTTCCACATAAAGTTTTCGATAAAAAAATTTAAAGAAAACTTTTTTTTCATTTAGAGTAAAAGTACGAAATTGGTTTTAAAAAAAGAGTATATGTTGTACTTATTTTGAAATAAATGAGATTTATTTAATTAAATATGAATATTAAATTTAATCATTTTTGAACCATTTTTTTTTTTTTGTAATTTTCTTATTTATTAAAATATATTATTTTTTGATAAAATAAATGTATTCCTTAATAGTTAATTTTTTTTCCACTAGTTTTAATTAAATATTGTTTTATTGAATTGCCAAGCTATAAATTCAATAAACTTTGTCATTATTATTTTTTAAATTTTAAATTCTAGTTAAACAGTTTGTTTATGTATTTATTTTCTAGTTAAACCTTATACTAACTGAACTCTTAACCTATCAATGGGGTAAGACTACGCTTTTATTTTTTATTTTATTTTAGTTCATTACTCTTTAAATAAACTTTATTACTTAAATATGCTTTATTTGTATTTTTGACGTTTGTCTAACTAAAAAAAAAAAAAAATTGTTTATAAATATCGTATACTACAAGTTATTCGCTATAAAAAAAGTGCGCACTTTTACCTCAGGTTACTCTAAGTTTATTTTCAGTGATCAGGAAATGCCCAAGGCTTAATATTTTTTTAGTCTCATAATATTTGCATACTGCTATGTCCAAGCATATTAATAGATAAATTAAATAAACGCATTTAATGTACATGTATTAAATACGACCGTGAACCTATTTGTCAGGATAGAAGCAAAATTTCATAAATAATAATTGATTTTAATGTTCTAAAAAATTTGCGTTGGTTGACGATTGGCACTTAAACCGCATCTTAAAAATGAACTTTAGCACTTATGTTAAGAATTAACAGTAAAGTCTCGGCAATTCAAACTAAAAGTTTTTTATGAACATTAAAAAAAAGTATCATTGAACATGTTTTATACTATTCGATGTTATTAAATTGTACGCGTTTCAGCGTAAAATAATTATTTTGTATTAGTTATGAAGATCAGAACAGTACTTTGGAAGATGTTCCTGATTAACCCCTTCGAAGCTTATATTCAAAAAACTTAGCACAGGGGGGTCACGGCACAGTGGTGACGTGGCATAGTTGGATCAAGTATAATGATATCTGACAGTGATTAAAATCACTATAAAAAAACATTTCGATGCAAATCTTTAGATAGTGTTTAATTTTAAAAAATTGGTGGATTATTCCAAATGCTACATGATCTGTTAGTTCCTTATTAATATCCTGATTAAGATAAAGTTTGTCGAATGAAAAAGGAATATAAATATTATTCCTCATAAAAAAATTGTGTTGATCGACTTTTCAATAAGTTATAGCATTATAAAGTTAAAAATGTAAAAAATAAAATCGAGAATTTTCACACAAAAATAGCATTTGGTAGCTATTTTCACCGTGAAGGCAAAATAAAGTCAGACATTTTTTTTTCTGTAGTAAAGTACATGACATTAGCTTTAATTTAAGATATATATAAAAGTGTCAGACTTTCCGCAACACTATCAAAAGATAAGTTGAAAAAGTAATTTTTTTGTGAAAAAGTTGTCATTTTAAATTTCCCCTATGGACAGACAAAGGGTCGAATTTATAAAAAAAAATACACCAAATGATAGTTAAAGACATCAAGCATAAACAAATTATATTGATTCGTTCATTTTTGAAAAAGTTATGGCAGTTTTAAGTAAAAAAAATTTCGAAAATTAGCGATTTTTAAATTTGTAATTTTTTTGGAGGTTTCCATCATTTACGGGGAACGAGGGAAATTTTTTCAATTTTTGAGGGTAATGTCTTCGGCTAGATTCGATTTGTGATCTTTTGACGTATTGTTGAAAGAAATCGGTTTGGTGAGACCTGAGAAAAAGTGGTAACAGATACAAAAAAAAAAAAACACATCATAATAAAACTAATACCTTTTCAGCTTCGCATCGAAGCTAAAATGCACCTTAATTACCATATTGGTTACGCAACTAGAAAGATTTTTAGAAATAAATGTCAAATAATTTTTTATACAGATAAATAATTTATTTAGTTTATGGTTAAATTAATTTTAAACTAATGAAATTGATGTGCCCATTCAAAAGAGTTTTCAATATACCGAAAAATACACTGTCCAACATATTTTTCTATTGATCTTAAGCCAAATGCCTATTCTCGTCAGAAATCTTGAATTTTGTTTTCGGTCTTAATATGTTATAGTATTGATTTTTTTTGTTTTAATAGAGCCCTAGCCTAGTGTCCAAAATGAGGGATTATTTTTAACGCGTAGAAAGCCTGTGACTCTTTGTTCTTCGTGTCCGCCTACACCCTTTTATTTACCCTATTGCGCATCATATTGTTGAAACTACTTGTGATGTTTACGTTATTAGAAATATTTATATATGTTAGACTAAAAGTGAAGTTGGCCCTTAAAGATTTAGGTTATACTTATTTTCGAATACAACGTTAGCTATCGGACAAACGTTACACGAAACAGGTGTCCTCGTTATCCTTGAAAAGTACCGATTTTGTATGCTGAATATTTAACCGAATATTTTTAACTGCCTTTAAAAAGGCCCGATGAATATTAGGGGCTCATTATATTCATGACTAATATAATGTGTCGTCAATTAAAGAAAAAATCCACTTTTGTTTTAATTCCTTTTAAATATTTTACAGGTAAATATTCCGCTGTTAGAATGATCACTACTTTTTTTATACGTGACCTAAGATAATTATACTTATATAATTTAAAAATTATTCCGAGGTCATTGTTTGACAAAAGACGCATCTTCAATAAGGCGAGCGCACGTGAACTTGTTTTTTTACTTTAGAGGTTATTACCAATTCAATTTTACGTAAATTAATCTACCGTATGTATAATGTGCTGCTTTATTATACTTAAAATTTCTTGTTGGATTTATTGGACTTTGCAACGTGCTGTTTCCGTTGGAAGATAGCAACGTGCGAGTGTCGGACACAAGGTCACTGGAGGAACCGGCGAGCAAGTGCCGGTGACCGTGGATGTATGGAGGCGGTGTGCTGCGGTGGTACGAGTTCTGCAAGGGGCATTGCTCCTCCTGGAAGAGTCAAGGCCGAGTGTTGCCATCTGCAAGCGATGTAACTATGATGGAAAATATCGCATGCACCGGCACAAGTAGAAAAAAAAAATAAAAAACTTCAACGATATTGTTTAAAATAAAAATATTTAGTATGCTAAATTTATCCCAAATTACGTTTGGAATCTTGTTTTTTAAATTTACAGCCGATGATTATCGATACAAAAGAAGTAGAAAGGGAAAATATTCAATATTAGCTAATATACTCTCTTATGTCATTTGAGTAGGTATAACCTAACCCGGTAACTCTGTACAGACTACAGTGACGTATTTTATTGCCAGTCGGCGTTAGCGATATTCGAGAATGAAGAGAACGAATACATTAATGTCTTATTATTTAATAACCACGGATGGGATGTAAAATTGTTTTTTGACCTTGTGCTGAACTGAAAACAAAGTGACAATGACACTGACTGGTAGAAACACAATGAACTCAAAGGTTTAATTTTGCGAATGTTAGACAGCGCGTTTCTTATTAGAATTGTGTTTCCAACAAAAAATGCGTTTGCCTTAGGTGTTGATTAAGAGTAGAGACAAACAAAAACGTATAAATCCTCTGAGCAACGGGTCAAGTGGCTAATGTTTATTTGCACGACATATCACAAAGACGCGTTCAGCGCTAATTGAGATGTTGGTAGAAGTTTTTCTCCTGTCAAGTGGAATAGCATTATTATTTTATGTCATACCGATTCTAATTTTAAGCGGACTCGATTCGTGTTTGACACAAATCTATACACGTATGTTTTCTTTTACCTAAGTCGTTTGACGTCATGACAACATGGTTTATTACGAGCGATTTGTATAATTTTTTTAAATAGTTTTCGTTGACTTCACACAGGTTTTCGGATTTTCATCGCTGTATTGACCTTGTGTTACGCACGCGAAAACTCTGAATCTGCGCAGTTTTTTTTGGCGCTGTGGAGACGGATCGAATAATATTATTGCTACGGTTGAACGACGAACGATGACGCATAATCTTCAATCACTCTCCTTCCCGTTGTGCAATAAAAGTAATAACAATAACCATGTGCAGTAGGTAATACTCAACGTGGTTCGTCGTACCGAGAACCGTGTAAAATCTCCAGAGAGTCGATCAACAACAACAGGATTTCCCAGCGGACGTCTCTCCGCTTGGTGAATTTCCCGAGCAGTTTCTGTTAACGGTGTTCATAAAACAAATCCCAATAAAAATTCACGCTCGAAATTAGTGTTAATTGGTTCATTACTCAATCCCGTTCCTCGAGTTCTTCGTTGTGTTGGTCAATCAAATTTTGTTTTTCTATTCTATCAACAAATATTAACCATCTAGAAAAATTAATACATTTATCGACGAATCCTAATTACTTGAACTCACAACAACATTGAAAACATCTACAAAAAATTGCGTTTTAACCCTAATGTAGGTTTAAATCAATGAAATTGATCGATTTTAATTTATAGAAATGCTTCAATATGCTGACTTATTCTATAACGTTTCAAAACAAATAATACAAAAGTCATAGAAGGTCGTTTTAAATAAAACCATTAAGCCAAGCATTTATTACTCGGGTAATTATATTGATTAAATTCTTGTATTTTTTACATAACACTTTGACAAATTTTAATTTCTGTTAAGTATAAATATGTAAAAGTTAAGATACAAATTTATACACATATAAGTCTAGACATAAAATAAATATAAGAAATAAAATATAACATCTTTATTATCTTTAACATAGGTCGTAAGCAAAATCATCATTTTGACTATAGTGATGTGCTTTCCTTCTGCAGCCAACTTATACTATTTATTCATCTAACATTTAATCATGCATAAAAAGATAGTAGAATATAATATGTGAAAAATTGTACACCAGACTGTGTTCGAGTAGAATTAGATGTTTATAATGGAACTTTAGATGCTTTAAAATGTCTAGACAACCTTTTTGTTTCTATAAAAAATTTACAAAATAAAAATTAATACATTTCTTATAATTCAAGCATAGTATTCGCTATCAGTTTAAACATAATACAGTAATATTTTGTATAGTTGTGGTTTTAAGGTTCATTAAAAAAGCATTAGTAAAAAAAAAGTCATCTCCCGACAATTTTGTCTGAAATTATTATAGAACTTATTTTTGAGTAAGTGTAGTGAAAAGGTCGATTATAACATAGATGACGGTTTGATTTTAACTATTCTTTTATTCATAATGTTGTTAGTATTTAAAAAAAAAAAAATGTTAATGTTCATGAATTCTAGATTGACTTGCTAATATTGTATAGATATTATACAGTATAAATAAATATTATCTTATTCTTCTCCCTCGCCTTTTTCCAACTATTTGGGGTATAAATAAATATATTTACTTTGAACATTAAAAATCTCTTATTTACATTTAATAAGACTTGGATTATGGATGAACAAAGGGTGTCATGACTTCGTCCGTCATTCAGGGGCCTTTATAAGGTAATATAAGAAACTGTTTGTCAAACTTGTCAACGTGTTTCTCAAGAAAAAATGAAATTTTGGCATTGAATCGCATAAATTTTTATTAATATTTGAATGAAAGGACACTTATTAAAATTATTAATGTTTCGCTTATATAAAACTTAATAATGAGACTATAATAGAATTACATCTTTTCTATCATTAAAAATTCTAAAGTCCTCTTTTAGTTTTGCTTGTTAAAACACATTTTCACTAATTCACACATGTTAGTGAGTAAACTAAGTGTCATTCAGAAATGTGATAGTCATATGACATCATGAATAGTCCAGCCAGAATGATGTATCTCCCCATGTTTTTATTACACAATCTATACACGCGACATTCATTTGACATTGAACGTTAATAATAGCCAAAGAAAATATTATGTTGATAAACGGGCACAATGTTCTCATTTTCAATGGAAATAATAAAATAAGTTGTAAATCAATTTATGTTGTGCAATTAATATACGGTCAATAAATAATAATTAAGGGAGCGATAAGAATTACACTATATATGTGTAAATTGTTCCTATCATGTTGTCTATTAATAACATAGGACATGGTCTTTAGGCAATATATTTTACATTACGATTGGTCTCGTTTAAAAGATCATTTGAGGTGAGTAAACATTTTGAGGAGGTTAAAATGTAAATTTAGTTGATGTAGGTTTAGGACTTGGATCGTTTTTCAATGTCAAAATAATACTTAAAATTTTGAAAATAATTCTTAACTTCTGGCTAACATAGTCTGTTTCATAAAAAATGGATGGTTAATAATGTTTATTATTAATGAAGTATAAGAGAACAGCCGTGGGGAACGCCACACCACCACATGTTAGCGATAGTCAACGTACACTGTTCGGTGTTTCCTTTTGTCATTATTATTATTATTTATTTCCATTGTTTACATTATTATTTCTAGTGTAATCAGTATATTTACCGTTTGTTTATTATTCATAAAAAAGTTTACTACAGACAGTGCGCAACTGGTTGAGATGAATGAACGACGTTCGTACTAAATCTAATCGTAACCTCGATTAATACTTGTGTATTGCATACATTGTTATTGAGTTCCAGAGAATACAATACTATACCGTTAGATGAAGGAATATTACTCATCTTTTGCTTGTATAAACAACCTAACAGTGTTCCAACGCGAGACAAAATGGGTTTACGTTAAGCTTTTGATGATTATCTTTAGAAGTATTCTCGAGATAACTTATGTTTTGATAATGAAATAATTTACCAATCCATATTGTCTCTTATTCGGAATATCCTCAATTCTCTAAATGACCGTAATTATGTCTTAGTTATGTAAAAATTCAGAAACGTATACGTAGAAAATTATTTAAATAAATCTAATTTCGCAAGTTCATATTAAATTTAGTATAGTACCTATAATGATAAAAAAAGTCATCTTGATACCGTAACTACATTAGATAACACATCGAGACCATTAGGTCAATGGCAGCAAAGCAAAAGTAAGCTCTGCTAAACTATTACTCTCTGATTGTTCATCTACAAACCGGTTTCGTGTAGTACTTGAAAAACACATGTCATGTTGAGATTATTACTTTAATTTTTCTTATCACTCATGAAAAACTGGACTTCTAGTAGTTTATTTATTCAATCTAACAGATAACTACTGAAAATTAGATAGTTGGAAACTTTCATTTTTGGATTTCGTTTTCACCGCGTGTACTTGAATAGCGGTTATTAGTATTATAAAATGTCGAACACATATTTGAATGGATGGTTAGTGTATGAATTTCAGTAGATAATTCTACTAAATATGAGGCGCCCCAGTCCAGAAAATATGTATAATATTTTATTACGGTATTATTGAATGTTGACGGTCACAAGAGTAACTTATTTAAGAAAAATGAAACTTAGTATTTGTGTAATTGAGTTCATCAATATTTACTAGATATTATAAGAAAAACTGAATGTCTAATTGTACAAGAATTGTTAACTCCAACAGTGAAAATAAAGTTTTTACTACGAAATGAAAATGTTTTCCTTTCTATTCGGTCACGCGTATGACTTAATAAAACATGTACTACAAATTAATACAATCTACCCGAAAATAAAAACAATCAAACCAAGCTAATTATGTCTATTGTTGTCTAACTGAAAATCATACTTTTACATTGTTTGGTAACTCGAGTATGGAATAAATATGTGTTAAGCGATGAGTTCAATTTTTATTGACTGTAAAATCATCGACCGTTAAATATGGAACAATTAATGTATGTATCCTTTTTTAACAAGTTTGTTATTGTACTAAAATAATATAATTGTTAGCAACGTGTTTGAATATATTTATAATTAAAATTCTATGTTTAGGGAAACCATGTACACCGGTAATGTAAATTATAATTATATTATAATGATTATTACTATTTTACCTACAACAGTTTCTTTGGAATTCATAACATAAACTTCAATCTGATTTTACGCTAACATGTATAGTTACTAAATTTTAGACAACAACATTAGTCTATTTATGCAACGATATGTTTCGAAAATATAGTTTTACAAAGGTAACGTACACATTCAAGCTTATTAATTTTTTTGGAACTAAATTAAAAATTGTTTTTAAGAGTTGAGTATTCGTTAACATTGTTTTACTATCTTAAAAGACGTATTTTTCTAGTTGTTCTGCTCAAGTTATTTTAACAACTCGTAACATTTATTTTATTTCATAACCTTAACATTATTGGCATAATGATACTCCATTGATGATTTCATATTTAAAAATAAAAATTTAATTTGTATAATTCATTATTGTACAATTTAATTTGCATTTTAAATTTACACACGGAGTAAAGTATAGGCAATATATCTGCACATTGATAAATTTTAACGAGTTTTTT